GAGTGTAGATTCCTTGAGATGGTCTCAGTAAAAGTGACGTGCTAGTTAGGGTAGACTAGGTCCACGTGTGTCACACGTTGGATGTGAGATCTGGTCTATACAATCTGTATGAATAATTTGATCATGGTATTGATATGAGCACCATGATTTTTGTTTTAATACAGCACATTATTAATGGGGCTGTTAATAATGTGTTTAGCAATGGTTATAGAGAAAATTTTGCAAATATTATTATTTTTGTTTGAATTAGGTTCTTTTATTTAGGGCTGGGTTCAGGTCGAATTTTTAAATTCTTGAAACTTAAATTTTGAAACTTTTCTCTGAATATAAGTAATTATATATATTATTTATATAATTATATGATATATTATATTCATATATTTATATTCATTACATATATGAAATTACTATTATATTATATAACCAACATTTTTTCATAGATTTTTATTATTCGTTGTTGAATAAAAACATTCAATCCAGATTTTTCTTTAAGAATATTAATTTATTATACATTCTTTTATTCCGTTTCGACAATTTTGAATTATGATAAATTATTGTGTAAAATTTCTGTTTTCCGAAACTTAAAATTTTGCTTATTCTTATCTATACTAATTTCGTTGTACCGTGGCGCCACTGGCAAGTCGAGTGTTGACCACTGGCGACCTCTGCAACATCCAGTGGCGAATGTTGAAACTGGAATTACGAAACCAGTAAAAATTCCTATGAAATTATTTCATTGCAATATTAATTAAATACTAATTAATTAAATTAATTAAATAGTGTAATATTAATTAATTAAATAATATTTGCAATATTAATTTATTCTTGTTCTTATTAATTTATAATTCAAAACAGAAAACACGTATCTCTTTTTTAAATTAAATTAATGTTGATTTTTATTCGAATAGAAATTTTATTAAATTATATACAATTGTTTATCTTTGTGTTTTTACCACTTCGTTTGTTGCCATTTGTCTATAGTATATTCATGTATTATATAATACAGATTGGTAATTCGTGTGTTAATAATGTCAGTGAACTTTTTCTTGATGACGCTTCTTTTCTTTGAGGATTCCTCAGATATCTGGGAAAAAAGAAAATTACGTGAAAGAGGTTGAATTCAAGGGAACTTTTCATATTTATATGTTAATTTCGCCGGGGCCGCGGGATTGGGAAAAAATTTCCTTTCCCGCGTTAATAATTTATCGTCGCGGGAAATTCAAATCTCGTTGGTCTTTAATTCGATCTTGACGTCTTTATTCCTTCGCGCGAAACACGAGTTCTGCAGACTTGTAAGTTCATTTTTAAACTTCGATTTATGCTGCTTTTACTCTAGCAACTTGTAACGAACAGCTGTTAGGACCTAACAGAGGTTAGGGAGGATTTATATCGCATCGTCGAAAAGGTATAAATGAAATTCCTGTCTAATTTCCACGAAAGGATTTATTGAAATTTCTCTAGACTTTTAGAGTTTCAGAAGTTTATCTACCATTTCGAAATTTCGTAATTAAATATTAAATTAATTACAAATATTCGAAATTTCGTAATTAAATAGTAAATTAATTACAAATTTTCGAAATTTCGTAGTTAAATAATAAATTAATTACAAATTTTCGAAATTTCGTAATTAAATAGTAAATTAATTACAAATTTTCGAAATTTCGTAATTAAATAGTAAATTAATTACAAAAAAGTCGTAATTAAATAGTAAATTAATTACAAATTGCTAGTACTAGTATTAGAGCTAGTACTACTATTAGAGCTTATAAATAAATAAATTAGTATAATTATAATAATATTAAATCAGTACAATAATAATTCAAACCAAGTCAGTATGGAGAAAATAAATAGGTCAAAACAACAGATATATAAGGTCAGAACAATTTTTTTCTAAAGCACTTGCTCATTTTCAGTAACTATGAAAAGAAAATGGCTGAAATAAGTTATTTTGGCTAGTTTAATAGCTCTAGTGTTGAATTAGGGTATAGAATGAGCTAAAGTCGTGATTATTAATTCATTATTCACTTGTTATCTTTACATACAGTTTTTCAAAATATAAACTTTTATTCTGACTTATGAATCATTATATTCCATAAATACTAAATCTATTAATTATCTTTTTCCATAATTCGAGGCAATTATTATATAAGTTTTGTATAAGACCAGCAAATGTGCAAGAAACAGGGGTGTTAATAGTTAAAATGCTGCGTGGGACTGTTTTTACTCTCTTCTTGGACGTCAGGAAGCACCCACGCAACGACATTTCCAGGAAAGGTGGGGTAAAATGGCAGCCTGTTGATCTAACCTCACTTCGGAATAGTATTCCGCATTTATTCTTCTCATTCTCCGCTCTTTTATCTCGCTAGAATGTAAATATTATACATCACTCTATTTAGAAAATACAACGTGACTTTGAAGTGGGTCTGACAAATTTTCAATAAAATATTCTTGGGAATATTTTCCAAAAAATATAAAAACTTTATTTGAAAATATTATTTAAAAAGTATGAAAAATATATTTTGAAATTTTTAAAAGATATGAAAAATATACTTGGAAGTATTATCTAAAACTTATAAAAAATATATTTAAAGATATTTGAAAAATTATTTAAATATATCAATTAGCAAATAATACGACGATTCGAAGTGAGTCTTACAAATTTTTAATAAAATTATTATTTAAGAAATCTAGCAAATATATTTGGAAATATATCAAAAATTATTTAAAAATAACACGATGATTCGAAGTGAGCCTTAAAAGTTATTAATAAAATTATTATTTAAGAAATCTAGCAAATATATTTGGAAACATAAAAAATTATTTAAAAATAATACTAAATGGTAAATTAAAAATCTATCAAAAGACTCTTATACATGGTGTCCCAAAAAAACGTATACCCACTTTAATACCTATTCTTTCTAATTTATATTAATTTATTATAATATAAATATAATTTATTTATAATCACGCAAAGTGTGTATACATTTTCTTGGGACACCCTGTATTTGGACCTCTCAACAATTATTTCAATTATTAAAAAATTTATTTGTACCCTACAAAAAGGATCAGATATATCAGGTACTCACGAAGTCATAAAAGAACAGTTTATATTATTCTACTATTTAATTCGTGTCAAAACTCGTCGTCCTTCGTTCTCTATCTGATCTTCCATATTATCTAAAATTTTTCTCAACATAATCGTCAATAGGTCTATTATTACGAATCTATCGAATCTGAGGTCGATCCTCTAACTTGCCTCGACAATCAGCGTCCTACCGTATCTAAATGTTGCTCAAACGATAAGAGGGTTTCATCGAGATGGAAGTTTCTACGCGAGAGAGGTCGGTGTTGTTGATTTCCTGATTATTTTTTATCTCAGATTCGAAACGACGAGTCGAGGTTACGAAAGCAGAACATTCACAACGCTGTTCGACAGATAGCTTATCAACGCTGGCTACTATTCCACGTTCAGCACGTTTCACTTTATCCTCTCATCGTACCACTGTTTACACCTCGGTGTTTAACCGTTTGTTTCCTTCAACTATTCAACAGGTAGTCTTAGAAAAGCCGCAAAGTGTGTCTGTAAGAGCTTACTTTTATCAGTGTGATGTCATGCTTCTGGAGGAAAAGCTAGCTCTTCTAAGCAGTGATACTGAGAGATCTACATGTTCTGAATCACTGATATATTATTTATACTTTATTTCTAACTTGTTCATTATATCTTAATGTTACGAACAGGGAAAAATTCAATGCACGTAGCACCTAGCATTTGCTAGTATGACAGTAATTGAAGGAACTAGTGTCAACGTCAAATTTTTCAGGATTCGTGAATCCAAGATGCAGAAAATTAAATTCCAAGCACCTCTGCACTATAATAGGAATCGAAGGAAGTAACGTCAACGTCTTTCGAGGATTCGTGAATCCAAGATGCAGGAAATTAAATTCCAAGCACCTGTTCAGTATAATAGCAATCGATGGAAGTAGAGTCAACCTCAGATTTTCGAGGATTCGTGAATCTAAGATGCAGGAAATTAAATTCCAAGCACCTGATCAGTATAATAGCAATCGAAGGAACTAATGTCAACGTCAGATTTTCGAGGATTCGTGAATCCAAGATGCAGAAAATTAAATTCAGTGCACCTAACCACTATGATAGTAACCGGAGGAAGTAGTGTCAACGTCAGATTTTCGAGGATTCGTGAATCCAAGATGCAGGAAATTAAGTTCAATGCACCTGTCCACTATGATAGCAATCGAAGGAATTAGTGTCAACATCAGAATTTCGTGACTCCAAAATGTAGGAAATTTTAAATTATCATTTTCACAGACAGCTTTGTCATTCCCTAACAAATTGACTGTGCACTGAATGCTGCTCTCATGATCCAAGTTACATAACAGTGTTTTGTCAAAAGTCAAGAAATAAGCAGACAACAAGTCAGGTGCAATGACTTTGATGAGCAAGGTCTACACGAGAGCAGTTTAAAACGATTTAATCGCGTCTCGTGCTAGGTATCGGGTCAGCTGATGTTTGTTTGGCAAGTTCCATTATCATACCTGATGATGCAAATGTCTATGCACAACGATCGATAGCAGTGGACCGAATAAATGAATGAATAAGCAGCTTGCTTCGAATTTACGATAATTGCATGATCGATTAAATCTCGTGACACCTGGATTTACAGGCCAATTGGACGCGAAATATGCATGCAAATGGCTTTTATCAGAATGCTACCAGGTATCACAGGCAAGTCTTTTATACTTCCTAGCTCTTTGTTTAATGACCCCTGAACAGAGACAAGGTATACGCGTGGATCCTCTTTGATCTTTTCATTGAGACATTCCGGACGAAGTTTCAATGGAAATAATCACGAGGTAGTAGGTCGAAACGTCGTAAACACGAACGAGTCTTGCTCTCGTTCCGTTTCCCTCTCAGGGAGTCACTATGG